CAGTTTGTTACATCATCTGTGACTCAATTTGTTTAAGCTTGGATCAAAACCACAGCATAGCAGTATGCTATAGGCTAACATTGAGCTGCTAACCTAACTGAAGTGTGCTATGGAATAGAAAATCCCTTTAATTGTCTCACAATGGGGAAATTCTGGTGTCTACAGCAGGAAAAAGATTATAGCAAAAATGGTCACACAAATTGGACCTTAGAAATAAAAAATAACATGATGGTGAATAGTTAAAAAATAAATAAAATACTGTACTGTTAAATGTTTAAACAATATAAAAACTGTGCACCTGGAGATTAAATAACCAATATACAGCTATGGACATTTTTACGGTAATGGATATTTGAAAATAGCTGCAACATCAGGGATGTGCAAAATGACAGCAGCATGTTATTTAACTGACTAAGGTAGAAACTGTGCAAAATCAGCATGAATGTAGCAGCTTATTGAGGTTGTTGGGAACAGTGATGGTTATTGAGTCTTACAGCTGCTGGGAGGAAGGATCTATTTATTACATAACGCTCCCTGGTGCATTTAGGGTGCAGCAGTCTGTCACTGAAGGAACTTTCCTGTTTTGCAACAGCTTCATGAACGGGGTGGGAAACATTATCCAATAGAGATGTTAATTTAGCTAGGATCCTTTAGATCTTCATATCAGTAACACGGGGTGTGTACAAATCTGATACTATTTTAATAAGCTGCAATCTAAAATCCAAATTATCTGCAGTATAAACCTGGACTAAATCATTTTGCCTTTAAAACAGTCTGATCCTTATCAAAACTTTATTCTGTGTCTGGAAACACAAAATTACAAGCTTTGAAGATTTTTTTAAATTTCTTTATTTGGCTCTAGTGGCGACTTGGATAGAATTAAGCCTAATATCTTTTTGCACTTTTAATGCTTAAGCTACATATAGATGTTTTGTGTTTTTATAACTAACTGAATGACCAATGAGGCATTGATAGGAACAGCTCCAGGCTGAACTGCTGCGTGTTTCTATCATTGCAAACATTTGTAAATCTTGGACTGTCACCTGTACTTGTTTATTCTGTTTGTGCACAGGGTTCAAATGAACAAGGGAACTGCAGTCATTAAGATTTGCCTGTTTAAGTGAAGGTAAAACAAGAAGTTTGTGCACAGGAACAACAAAATCTTGAATGTTTAGTCTGTTATGCTGTTTTCTGGCATTATACGAGATAAGCTGTGACGATGGAGTATCCTTGGTTTGTTTGGAGGTAGGTTTATAGGAAAGTTAGTTATTTTAGTGTTTAATTAGCCTGAAGACTCATGGTTTGGTTAGAATGATGACTGTGGAAATGAGAGTTCTTTATTTAGACACCAGCTTTGTGAGCTGCGTTATATGTTCAGGAAATGAGAAGTTGTTGCTTTTCAGGTAGCAGATTCTGCAGCTTTAACAGCATAATCAGGATTTTATTTGTAGGAACTTAATGTCACTTAACCGTTGGTATGTCTTCAGAGATCCCTAACTATCCTGCTTTTCCCCTCCGTCAGAGTCATTGCCGGAACAAACCTTTAAGGACGAGAGTGATGCAGCCACCCTGAGACAGACCCTTCCAGATTTAACCCCCGACGACCCCTCTGATGCTCCGGCTCTCCCCGCTGAAGACTCCACTCCAGCCGCTGCTTCCGCCGAGGCAGCTGAAGGGGAGGAGGCCGCTGATGCTGGGGACCAGGAAGGCGAGGAGTCTCCCAGCAAATCCCCCTCCAAAAAGAAAAAGAAGTTTCGCACACCTTCCTTCCTAAAGAAAAACAAAAAATAGACAGTCCTAGATTGGAGAAAGTTGGATAAGGCTGACCTCGCCTTCATTTTAGTTCCTTTTATTTTGTTTTGTACTTTTGCCCTTCAAGTGAGCCACACTCCCACACTTATTCTTCGGTTCTATATGTTAAAAATTTAACCTGCTTTTGCTCATTAGTGTGTATACAGTGTAAAACGATCGCATTATGGCTTTTTTTCTGTTTAGATATTAAAGGCTTTTAATTGTGAGTGCAATCAGTCTTGTCAACTCCATCTTGTCTTAAATGCATGACTATAACTACAGGCTCACGTGCTTAAATTAGAGGTTTTTATTTCTTTTCTTTTTTAACTATTAACCAATGTAACCACTAGAATGTATAGGGATTGTATCCAAATATGTCTGCCGCTGCAGGGCAAGAAGCTTGTACCTTCTGCTGAGCTGATGGTCACTTCTGACAGTGATAAACTGCATAAATGCAACCCTGAAGCTGTGCGCTCATTTTATTACAAATCTGCAGACTGGAAGAGCTACAGTCCGGCTTCTCCCTAATGGTTGTTTGCTCGTGTCCAAAATGCAATAACTCCAATGAAATCACTATCAGCCACATGTAATGTTTTCCTTTTTTTTTTTTTTTTTTTTTTTTTTAAACATTGTTTTACTTACTCACATGGTTCTTAATCTAATGTTGGTCAAATACTTTGCACATCGGATTAAGTGAGAACACTGCTGCATTATGCAAGATTAGCCCTGCCTTGTTTCTGACATTGTGCTCGCGTATCAGTCTAAGGCTTCCTGCAATGTATTTGCCTCTGCCTGTAAGCCTATATTATGAAGGAATGTGTACATTTGTATTTTTTTTTCAGTTTTTATCATAGCTTTTGTTTTGTATTATCTCCCCAATTTCACATTGCTAATTTGCATCTAGTGTTGCATATTTCCATCGGTTTCTGGTGGCATTTTGTTACATAAATCAGATTATTCCCTTTATTCTGTCATTAAAAACCCAGTTTTAGGAATACATTTGCTCTTATCCAGTTGCATTTATTCATTAAAAAGGTTTCATGTTTGATCATGTCATAGAATCATAAATCGTGATGCTAATTAGTCTCTCCATGAATGATACTTAGGCTGTGAATCACTGTCAACAGTAAAGACGATTTACACTGGAGGAACAAAAGAAGCAATTTTTGTTGTGACTGCAATCAATGGGTGGAAAAAAAAAACAGTTTGATGTTCAGTTTCAGGTTGTGTGAATCATTCAGCTGTAATGGAGAGTCCTGACGTGCTTTATGAAATTGACCACTGGTGACAGATGATAGACTTGCATCGCATCGAAGGGCTTCAAACTGATTGTGGGTTATATTTCAACTGTTCCGCTGAAGCAAATACTAATGTCCAACTAATCCTTTAAATCTGCTTTATTGGTGGTTTTGTTTTTAGACCTGCTAAGTTGTATCATCTATCTGAATTATACCCATTTAAATATTTTCTTTTTACTCAATTTACAAAGTTATTCCACCACTTTCTCATGGTTCCACCTCTGAATAAAAACACTACCATGAAAAGGAGAATTGTGTGACTAGTTTTCAATATTTTACATAAATTGCAGCACGCTGAAATATTAATTTTGCATCCTGTTTTTTTTTTTTTTTGGTTTAACATTCTTAATATGTGAAAGTTTGACAGTTTTAATGTAATAAAACGTGGAAAACTTACAAAAGGAACACTTTGGCAGACTATTTTAATACTGGATGATGGTATGAAATATGATGCTTTTGTGGTTTATTTTTGTTCATTAGTATCAGCTATAGTTTTGCACTTGATTTTGTTTTCAGTTTGGTTTTTTTAGGCCTAGAAGAAAAAACATTGGTTAAGATTGTACAAAGTTAAATAATATCATTTAAAACTTACATTTATAAGTCTAATACAGAAGATCAGTAATATATTAGGTGTTATATCTAAATCAACATGATTTTATGTAGCTCCTTACACCAAGTAAAAAAAAATTTTTTCTTGCTTCAAGAGACAATATAATAGGAATAATTTTTTCATGATATCATTGACCCTAAAGTTAGGCTAAAGATTATTAAGGTGTATGCTTTTATTAAAGAGCCTGAAATGTTGATAAATTTCTCATACCCTAGTTATTTTACCTATTTTATTTTTTTACATACAACATCAAACACTATCGTACTCTTTAGGGATTACAGCATGATTACAGTAATCCCTTGTTTTAAAGTAGAGAGAACAGTACCTTTTCCCAATGCTCTCTGACTTGGCTAGAAAATGATTAATTTGGTCACTATTAAGAAATGTCCCATTAACCTATTTCATAGTAGTATTTAGCTGTTCTACCTTCAGAATAAAGTGTATGGTGTGTATTAATGCCTTCACTAAGCGTTCAGGGTTTCCTTTGGGTGACTTAGTTTACAGTTTACTCTAAAAAGAGCAAATTTTTTTGAATCAGAGGATTCTTGTCCTCTAAATTTGACTGGTGTATTGAATTTAGAGCCTTTTTTTTTTATGTTTTTCCATGTTACCTCTTCTATTTTAATCTTGATCTTCTATTTCTATTCTAAATTGTCCAAAAAAAGGCTACATTAGAGCATCATTTGATATAAGTATTCTCTTTGGAGAGCATCGTAATTTCACATATTGCTGAATTTTTTTGCTTTTTTTTTTTTTTTTTTTATCTAAACCATATTGTCTTTGAAACCTTGCAATTTCTAATTAAACAGCTCACTTGGTACTAATGTATGGAGGACCAACTTTGCCATAATTAGAAATAAATGCAGATATAAATAAATGCTCCAAAAATAAATAAGCATACAATTAATTGCCCCCCCAAAATGCAATAGAAATTAAATTATACAGGTAGAAATTAAATTATACAGTGAGACATATATATATATATATATATATATATATATATATATATATATATATATATATATATATATATATATATATATATATATATATTTATTTTTCTTTTTTTTTATTAGCTGCTTTGTTTATTCACCTTTGTTATAATTACCTTATTTATTTAATGTCCGTTATATTCTTCAATTTTATTTATTTATTTATCACTTATTTCTTAAAGCATTTATTTATGTGCATTTTATAGTATTTTTGTCTGGTTACTGCAGTCAAAACGCTAAAAATGAAGAAATTAAAACCGAGCAAGGTGTGGCCGCTAGGGGCGCTGTTATTAAAACTGACACAGGAAGTAATTCTGGTGTCGTGTACCGTGAACATGCTCGGAAATGGAAACCTTGTGAGGAAACGTGGATACCAAATGATATAAATATATATATATAGAATTATCTCCGGTCATAACGACTTTAGTTTGACTTTAAGACCTGGTGGTTCTTATATTTGGACTTCTAGCTGTGGCTTCAAGGTAAATATGTCTTCTGTTTGTATGTTTACAATCTGCTATGACTAACATTTGCTGTTTTTATTCCTTTTTATCTTTAGTTCAGCCGTAATTTCATTAACAGTTACTTTAGTTTAACAAATCGTGTGATTTAATGTTCCAGCAGCTGGAAATCAGGCTGCTATGTGTGGAAGGGCTAATGTTGATTAAAGTGCTGAGAGCTTTGAGTTCATGTGATGGTCAGTCTTATAGGGGAAGTTTCACTGTTTGCTCTAATTATTTCTTTAGAAATAGAGGAGTGAGAGAATCTGAGCTGCCAGTTTAATGTGTTTTAGGTCTGAAAAGTTCGGCATCCCATCAGCAGAGCTGCAACTAACGATTATTTTGCAAATCGATTAATCTGTCTATTATTTTTGTCGATGAATCGATTAATAATCGAATAGAGCAGAAAGATGTTAGGAGTTCTGCATAGAGCATGTTGACATAAGAAAAGTTTTTATCTTTAAGGCAAAATATATTTAAAATGTTTGTAAGTGGGATGCTCTGTTAGCTCAAGGCCTGTTTTACAGTCTCTATATTCCAGTTAATGATTAATAGATTGTTAAATTAGTTGACAAATATTTCAATAATTGATAATAATTGATTAATCCGATTAATTGTTTCAGCCCTAATCATCAGCATGTATGATGATCATCCATCCATTGTTTCCACTGAACATCTGTGCATCCATCCACCATCCATCCATTTACTGACTTGTCTGTTGATTCACCATTTATTCGTTCTTTTTTTTTTTTTTTTTTTTTTACCCCAGCTTTTTTATGTTCATTATACTGTTACAAGTATAAAGCAATGAAATTCACTCTCTGCATTTAACCCATCCCCTTGGGGAGCAGTGGGCTGCCATTGTGTAGCTCCCGAGGAGCAGTAAGGGTCTTGCTCAGGGACCCAGAGTGGCAGTCTGTGGAAGTGGCGCTCAAACTCAGAACCTCAGGATTCCAAACTCTTTGCCCTAACTACTAGGCCACTACTGCCCTCCTTCCTGTTGTATTTTTTCTTGCAGGTTTCATAAAAATAAAAACAAAATCCGTGTTGAACGTTTGTGTTAACACTTTAGGATGTGGCTTAAAAGAAAAGGACAGAGGACTCCCTGCTTCTCTCTAGGAAGATGCTTTGCAGCATTCGATGCAGGTCTAGCAGTTTCTGCAACAGTATCTTCCCCACCGCCATCAGACAGCTGTTGAAAAAACTCTGAATCATGTCAAAAACTCTGCATCACACTGATAATACCAAACCAAAAATACTGCATATTTGCACCCTGTATATTAATGCTCTGAGCTTCCATATAAATGCATTTTTTGCCCTATGTTTTTTCTGCCACACTGTTTACATTTGATCACTTCTGCACTTTAAGTTTATTGACTGTCTTGAAAAGCTGTACTAAATGAAATGTCGAAACGTTTAGTAAACGACAATAAAAGTTGTTTTAAATTATGCAATTTTGTTACTGAGGAGGTGTGGGAAACTTTATTTAAGAAGGGTAATAAATGTGTTTCTTGTCACAGATGGGAAAGCCACCTAAGAGGAAGAACCTGGCTGACAAAGTTCGTAAAACCAAAACCGCCACTGAGATCAAAAACAATCCTTTTGAGGTAAAAATCAACCGAAAGAAGTTTGATGTTCTGGGGAGAAAAAGCAAACATGATGTGGGCCTGCCGGGGGTATCTCGCTCTAAAGCCATCAGCAAGGTGAGAAACCGCTCTGCTTTTTTTTTATAAAGACGCCTCTGACTTGTTTGTCTTTACAGCCTGATTATTTTATTTTGTTGGTTTTTAAAGCACATCGACAGTACTGTAAAAAAAATCTTTACATCATTAAAGATTTCTTTCTTTTTTTCCCCTTTTTTTGTCACAGTTAAATGCTTTAGATCGCCAAATGGTCAAAAATAATTTTTGATTCGACACTTTAAACTGTTTTCTATATATTATTTCATTTATTAAGGCAAAAACGTTTTTTGATTGTGTGTTTTCATTTTAAGTTAAGAGGGAATAGATAAAAATACTCGTTTACAAGGAAATCACTTATAAAACTTTCTTATTTTTTGTTTATCTGTAGAGAAAAGAGACACTCTTGAAGGAGTACAAACAGAAAAACAAGTCTAACAAATTAATCGACCGACGCCTTGGGGAATATGATTCCAAGATGGCTCCAGAAGACAAAATCCTGCAGAGGTTCACCATTGAAAGACAGGTTGGTGACGTCCTAAAGGATTCTGTTGGACTTGGTTCCTTTTTATACATTTGGCACAAAAGTGAAGAACAGTTAACAGTTAGTTCTCTATTGTAACAATGCTATATGTTTTTGATTGATATCATCTATTGCCTAATGCTTCAAGGCTTCAAAAAAGAACAAAAATGTAATGTCTTGTTTATTTTATGTCTTATTTATTGATTTAACAAAGTGAGTCCTTAGTAGTGCTTGAAGGAACCTTATAGAGATCTGAGTCTGACAACTTCTCTGCACGCTGGTCTCACACTTTTCCATCCAGCAGGCTAAGCTAAGCTAGATTTACCAACACAGAAAGTTTCTTCCTCATCAAGACAAAATTTTGAAGGTAGTCTCTTTAAAATGTCCTGTTGGGGCAATGATTGATTACTTGAAGGATGGAGTTTGGTCCCATAGGGTGGAGATACGGATTTGTTGCGTCACCCTTTTGATGGAGGCATCATATTGCCTCCATCAAAAGCTCCTTGGCTTTGTCCTCCAGAAACTCAACCATGCTGCCCGACAAATATGTTTCCTATAGCAACGTTTCACGTGGCAACATTTAGGTGAAGTTAAACAGGTTTTCCAACCATATATGATTTATGGCTAAAAAGTGCAGCAGAAAAAACTGTTGATTAGGAAAAATAAAAAAGATTAGATCTACTGAATATCTCAAAAGTTTCTACTGATTCTTTCCTTTTGTGTTAAACTAAGAAGCATTACTGAGGAAAGAAAAAAAGCTCTTCCTAACCTGATCTTGACATAATCTCTTACTTTGGTGTCGTATTCTTAGAGAGTCCATGAAAAACGAGACATTTACAACTTGAATGAGGAAGAGGAGCTGACTCACTACGGCCAGTCGTTGGCTGAAATAGAGAAATTCAATGATGCTGTTGGCAGCGACGATGAATCGGAAGAGAAAGGACTTTTATCAGGTGAGACTGAAACACCTGCATTTTGTTTGCTTGGATTTCTTAATGTTTCCTCTGAACTTACTCAGATTTTTACATGCTTGCTTTTTTTTTTTTTTTTTTTTGTCCAGCTGAGCTGACTGCCTCCCATTTCGGAGGCGGAGGGGGTCTCTTGAGAAAGAAATCTGGGGAGGACCAGCAGGAAGAGCAGAGTGGTCAGAAGACCAAATCCAGACAGGAGCTGATTGAAGAGCTCATCCAGAAGTCCAAGCAGGAGAAGGTCAGCTGATCGAACAGTACTCCTGGTAGAACCATGTAGGACGGGTTTAAACTTTTAAAAATGATCTGACTATTTCATTCATCTGCTTATAGAGGGAGCGTCAGGTGCAGAAAGAGGAGGCGCAGGAGCTGACTGAGAAGCTGGATCAGGAATGGAAAAGCATTCAGGCTCTGATGGTGAAAAAAGCACCGAAAAATTCAGAACAAGCCGACAAACTGGAGGAGAAACCGAAGGTAAGGATTCCAAACATCGAACTGCTTCTGGTTCCACCTGGTCCTCCTCTGATTTCTGCTTTTTATTTGGGCTTCCCAGCCAGAGGAGTACGACATGATCGTCCGAGAGCTCGGCTTCGAGATGAAGGCTCAGCCCTCAGAGAAGATGAAGACCCCTGAGGAGCTGGCCAGAGAGGAGGAGGAGAAACTGAAAAAGCTGGAGGTGAAAGCACTAAACCCTCTGGCTGCCTTAATTCTTATTTTTTAGTACCTTTGCGAGGCAGAGTTTAATCCACTGCATGTTTCCTCAGGCTGACCGTCTGAGGAGGATGATGGGAGATGAAGGCGGGGACAATGTGCAGAGCCAAGTCCACATGTCTGCCGACGACCTGAACGACGGCTTCGACTTGGACCAACATGACAAGAAGACGCTCTCTTATCAGGTATCCTAGTTCCAAATTAGACGGATAGGCTCTAAGGCTTGGATTTTATTTTCTAAACATCTTTAATTCCTAAAAGGATGGAAAGTGGAACATTGCAGAGGAGACTGAAGACGACAAGGAAGAAGAGGAAGAAGGATCAGATGCAGAGGAAGATGATGATGATGAAGAAGAAGAGCAGCAAGAGGAGGGCAGTAGTGAAGATGAAGAGGGCCACTCAGACCTGGAATCTGAGCAGGACAGTGAGGATGAGGAGAGTAAGCAGGACGACCAGGGGAGCAGCTCTAAGCAGCAGAGGAGTCTGAGCAGAGAGGAGCTGAAGGCTCAGCAGGAGGCCGCCAAAGCAGAGCTCCCCTACACCTTCACCGGTGACTACACTCACTCCTCACACAGACGCAGGATTTCTGTTGACTTTTACGAATCTACAAGTAAAAAATCTGTTCTTCTAACTTAGCGCCTGAAAGCTACCAAGACCTAAAAGATTTGCTTCATGGTCACACGCCTGACAACCAGCGCCTTATTGTAGCCAGGACCCAGAAGTGCAACCACCCGAGTTTGGCTGCAGGAAATAAAGCCAAGCTGCAGGTACGTCCAGGTAAAACTGTCATTTTCCTAGAGAAGTTTGAATGAAATTAAGTTTTCTTCTGTTTTTTCAGAAACTTGTGGGCTTACTGATGGAGTACATGGGAGAGCTGGCTACAAGGAGCCCACCTGAGCTCTGCACTGTAGATAAACTCATCCCGTGAGTTTACAAAGTGGCTGACTTTAACATCCCAGGCTTAAAATGGAGCCTTAAACTATATTTGTTAACATTTCTCCTCATATGTTTTTGTTTGTTTTTTTTAAAGGGAGCTCTACACTTTATGCCAAATGTTTCCTGAGGCAGCCTGCCAGGCGATGCAGAGCATCCTCAGAGATGCTGCTCACAGCATGGAGGAGGTGATTGAGGTCAAAGGTCATGCTGCTTTCCCTACATTAGACATGGTATGATTTATTGATTTACATTTTCTTAGTTTTTTGTATCAGGGTTGGCGTGTTCATTTTGCTTCATGTTTATGGTTTTATCAACAACAAAAGAACAGTTTTAGTCTCCTGGTATTTCATTTTTTTTAAAGTAATCCACTACAATTGTTTGACAGAATTACAGTTATCTCATTAGAGATGAACAAACCATTCATGTTTATCTCTGTGGTGGTAGGACAAAAAAAGGCCTTTCCCCCGGTATCCCTTCATGCACACTTAATATGTAGTTTTGGCAAAACTGCTTTGCTGCAGCTGTGAAATTTTCCCAGATGCAAGCATTCCCAGGATTAGTTGTGACCCTGAATCTTACAGCAAATGTTGATACTATGTACGTGTTAATTACAGCTGTATTTAAAGCTTGTTTTTGTTTTCCAGCTGGTTTACCTGAAAGTGGCGGCGCTGCTGTTTCCAACCTCAGATTTCAGGCATCCTGTAACGACTCCAGCGCTGCTTTACATCAGCCAGACTCTAACTAAGGTAAAATGAGACAATCCTAGAGAATGAGAGCTAATTGTTGTCATTCTCTGAGCTTTTTTCCTCTTTATTTACATGGCAAGATGTAATTTTGTGTATTTTTATTAGACCTGATATCTCTTTATATAAATAGCTGAAACATGTTTGACACTTTATAGATTTAATATTTCTACTAGATTGTTGTTTTCTCCCATCGAGACACTAAACATCTTTCATATCTATGGTAGCACTCATCTGTTTGTCTGTGTGTTTTGTGCTTTTTTTTTTTTTTAGTGTCCTGTGAGATCGTTAGAGGACCTAACCTCTGGTTTAGTTCTGTGCTGTCTGGCTGTTGAGTACGTCTCCTTTTCCAAGCGCTTCCTGCCGGAGCTTATCAACTTCCTCAGTGGAACGCTCCAGCTGGCTGTGCAGGACGAGGCCTCTGGTATGTTGATGTGTTTTACTCCTGGTTTCGGTTCATGCGCTGATCTGAGGTGGAGCAGATCCAACTTACTTTAACAATGTTTTGCAGGTCGCATGGCGGTTCCCCCCTTCAGACCATCGGGGAAGCACTGTGATCTGCTTGTGCTTTCTAACTCTGAGTCCTGTAGGAACTGGAGCAAGAAAAACCTCCCGCTGTCTGCTACCCAGCAGATGGAGCTCAAAAGTGATCTGGACAGAGACCACTACAGGTGAGACGAGAGGAGGCTGCCATTTTATCTAGCTGCTCAGAGCCTCACACCCTCAGGAGATACTTTATAGCTCCTCTGATAAATCTGTTTAGCTGACATTAACCAAAGGCTGCATTTTGTTAGTATTGATGTGTTTGGCCTCTGCAGCCTATTTAATTCATTCCATACTAATCTGATCAAGAAGCATGACTCATGTGATCAAGCAAACTACCAAAGAAACAAACTGATAAGTTTTAGTATGTAGAGAATCTTAATACAACCTTAAATAAGATACAAAGTTAAAACCTGCAGATAAAGATTGAAAAATCAGTAACTAAAATTAGGTTGAACACATTTTTATGCTGATGTAAACGGAGGGATTGAATTTCAGAGTAAAAAGCAATATGGCTGAACAATTTGAAAAGGGGGTTAAGTTGGCAGGTGTCGCAAATAACAGAAATAAAAGGCGTTCAGAATGGGGTGACTTGTATGTACTGCTCTACTTAGAGTTTAGTCAAATAGTTGGAAAACACAACTGCAAAGGCTGTAATGGCTATACCAGGCCAGTAGGAGGTGAAAACAACCACACTGAGATGAAATGTGTAAAGAAGAAGCAAGCATGGCTAACGTGATGCTAGCTATATTCCCATAAAAAAAAAAATGCAGCTTTTTTTTAATCCAATCTAAAGATGAAAATCTTGTCAATATGCTCTATCCAGATCTCCTCATGTGGAAAAGTTTCAGTTTCACCTGGATTGATTTAGCAAAAAGTCTTCTTTAAGGAACCTTCGGCAATCGGATAGCCAAAGGTTCATCAGATAAATTGTTTAATCAACAGATTAATCAATTTGCAAATTAATCATTTGTTGCAACCCTTCTCTACGTGCTTGTGGTTGGTGCAAAGGAAAATCAAAATCTCAATTTTGGTTAAAAAAAAATCACAATTTTGAATATTGAAATTTGTTCCACCCTAATAGAAATGAATAAGCTGCCATTATGCTTTTTTGATCATAGTGTGTTGTGAAAAGTCATTTTTTTAACAACCCAAAATACTTTTTGCATTTGGATAACGGGTACATGCAAAGCAAAATATAGTCGGTGTGGATGTGACATTGGAGCATTATTTGGAGTTCTGGAGTATAACTGTGATGCATTTACTGACTTGCATCGTATAGGATTTATGGGATTCGGGCTCACAGGGTTTAATCCCCCTTTTTTCTCTTCTGTAGCCTCACAACAAACCTTACTGTTCCCAAATATCTGATCTTAGTGATAGCCGGGAGTCCTCCCTGTTTTGGTTTGGTATTACTCCGTTTGACATGTGAACATGTTCAGGTATAAACTCTGTATTTCCTGACATGTTCAGATTCTGAGCAAATAAATTCATCTTTACAGCCTGAAAGGAAATAATAAACATTTGTTCTATGAGGTAAAAACATTCATCAGCGTTTTTTTTTTTTTAGCAAGCTGTTGATTCAACCTGCATGTTTCTATGTATTGATGATATTGACTTTAATTGACATGGCATGGATGTGAAATTCTAACACGGACCGCCGTAGCATGTTTACCAGCACACGCTTCATAGCTCAGAGCGTCCCCTTGGTTAATTCTGACTCACCGGCATGCTTTCACGCAGCAGCTGGTGTGTGGGCACAAAGCAAAGCTTGCAAACAGGCTACAGTACAACTGAGCAGCTTTTAAAAGAAACTGTATTTTTATTTACCCAACTACAGATATGAGTCAAAAAGAATAAATCAGATGCTTGAAATGATTCAGATGATGAAAAATTTGGGGGGGAAAAAATCTAGTTTACTAAACTACTGAAGACCACTTTTAAAGTTGAATAAAAATGTAGCATGGTGTGTGTTTGTTAAATTTAATAATTTACAGCATTTCTTCACAAGTCAACAGAGGCAGAAACCTGTTTCCAATTTTTTTTCTCGCAAAAATGATTCACACATTCAAAGCAGACAAAGCATCGATATCCTTCACACCATAAACGTCCTCGCACCTCAGTGCCCAGTTATTTTTTAATTTCTGCATCCCTCCCTGTGGGCTTTTCACACACATGCTCACCAGCTGCTGTTTGCAAAGAACGCTCAGGAGTGACTAAATATCCACTCAGTGCTCCGCATGAAGGTTAGTCTCTAACGAGTGATGATGAAGTCATCAGGGCTGCACCAATCGATTATTTTAGTAATCGATTAATCTAGTAATATTTTTTCAGTGAATCAATTAATACAAGTAGAGTTACTTTTAGTAAGTTAATTAGTCTAAGTAAACAAATCAAATATGGAAAACCTTTGAGCACATTTAAAAATGAATTCATTTATATGTAAATCCTTAATGGAAAATTGTTTAAATGTCTATAATTTTCATTTTCTGTAGGCACGTTATTTTATTTATTTATTTTTTTTAGCAAATGGTGTGTTTTAGATCCCATTTACTGCACGTAAAGATTGGATTTGATTACCGAGTCAGTTGACGATAATTTTGATATTCTGTTAATCTGATTGAAGGTTTCAGCCCTGGAGGACATACAGTTACACAGATGCAGATGTTTCTAAAACGTTTCCAAACTTGGAGTCCTTTTCTGAACATGTAAGAAAAGAAATCCAGCCTTTGCAGCAGGAATTCTCAGGGTTTATTTTTTTTCCTTCAAACAAGTGGAGTGGCAGTCCTTGACTCGACAGTCTGGTTGTGCCATTTTTATTCTGTCCTCAACAGTTTTTTCAGAAGCGTAATCTTACAATCTTGACAACATATGATTGTGTAAACGAATAGAATGGAAAATCCAACAGAAGGAATTCATATTGCGCACAGAATTCAACCTGAATCACTCACATGAACTGACAAACGGTTTTTATTTAGGCCTTTAGAGAAAAGCTCATTTTAAATTTTAAATGCACGTTCAGCTATTAAAGTTGTACGATGCATAAAACTGTAGAACAGGGGTGTCAAACTGGTTCCAGAAAGGGCTGCAGGTTTTCACTCCAACCAAGCATTGTTTTTTGATGTATTTTATTTAGATAAACCTTTTTTTTGAGAGAAAACTAAATTTTATAGTAAACCAGATAAACTTGGTGCTATTCTGTAGCCATAAGGTGGCGGTCAACTGGACCAGCTGGTGACGTCACTTTAAATGCTTCTGACATTTTGGTTACGGTTATCAATACCTGATCAAAACCTGAATACACCTTTTTCAACCCTTTGGTTGTTTTGGAAAATGTGGGAAAACCCAGAGCACTAAGATTACTTTGTTATTCTGCACTGCATCCCTTTCAGATGATCAATCACTTCCCTTTCTGAAAAACAAATACTACTAGATGGAAATAAAAATGTTATGTTTGTTTGTTATGTATGTTTGCTTTACTTATTGGATCGATACTATTACTATTTTTTTTAAATAACATCAACAGATAGCATGTTTTGCGTCTACAGCAAGGATAACATTCGGATATCTTGAGATATTCAAGGTCAAACGGACTAAAGCTTAGTTTATTTTAGTTTCATGATGCGATAAATTTGTTCTAACAAAGTGAGCTTTTGGCCTCATGTAAGGACAAAACAATGGTACATCTACAAAACCTGATGTTTGTATCTCAATTTTAAAATGATGAAATGCACTAATACAAGGAGCTGGAGATCAGATTAGCTTGATGATATCTAATGAAACTGTTCTTATAACTCAAGCTCTTATTATCTGAGGTTGATGGAATATTTCAATAAAGCTCCACATCTTATTTCTACATAATGAGCCTATTCTGTGGAATGAGCTAAAGGTTTTTATCTTAAAATGTTATAAATTAAGATTTCGCTATTTCAAGATCCATTATAAACGTGGACCTGATCCAGAGTATGAAATGTTTAGTGTTTTATCAACAAAACAAACTCTGGTTCTTTCAAACTAATCACATAATTAAAAAATATGGATATTATCTCTCGTTAGTTTAATGAAACACCTTTCTGAATCACGTGAAAAATGTAAAGTGGTACTAAACAATAGAAATGTATAAAAAACATTAGACCAAATTATAATTGTTGTTACAAAATGGTCATAAAATAGGAAAATTAAAATGTTTGCCTCTAAAGCTGTTTGCGGACGTTGCCTTTGTTCTGTTATTGGCTGGCTTTGCCTGCTGGTAGAAGGATGTAACAATATTTTTGCATGCCAAATGCAAAGGCACTTCCTATTGTTAACAAAGAGGTGCTTAACTCTTCTGTTTTACAAATGATTTTTTTCTGCCCTCTGCAAAAAGGAAGAGGAGTTTGTTTCTTGTCCTTTTCTGCATTTACCTGAAACCTTACTAACACTGTCGCTTTTTTCCAGGTTGAATTGCTTGTCTACGTGCCTCGACCTGGTGAAGAGATGCTGTCTGCTCTACAAAGACCTCATCTCCTTCATACACATCTTCCAGCCAATCAGGACGCTTCTTTCCAAGCATCTTTCCTCCCAAACCTTGCCAAATCCTTTACAGGTTAGAGGCAAACCGTTTCTTTGAAGCAGAGCATTCCTTCAGCTCTTTCTCTCTGTGTCCTTGTCTTCTGTGTTCTGTTAATTATAGTGTTTGTTGTTGTGCTGTAGGAGCTTCACAGGGAGATCTTGGAAGCTATCAGCAGCGCCCCTGTGACTCACACTAGACTAGTTTTCGAGAAGAAGAAGCCGATTCCCCTGAAACTGCTCACACCAAAGATTGTGGAAGTGTAGGTGTTCCTTCCAGATCCTCTAGTTTAACCTTAGTTGGAAAAAATGTATTAATATACCTTTGTTTTAATGCGATTGATGTTCTCTAACAGTTTGGACTATGGAAAGAAGCGCGGCAGCAGCAGAGAAGAGAGAGAGAGGGAGCGACTAAAGCACAAGTACAAAAAAGAGTTCAAGGGAGCTTTAAGGGAGATCAGGAAGGACTCTCGCTTCCTGGCCAGAGAAAAGCTTAATGAGGTCATGAACAGGTATGGATCTAATTCCTTATTTGTGTGCAGTAATGTAAACCAAAGCCCTGTAACATCTTCAACATATATAATGTTTGTTTCAGGGATGCGGAGAGGAAGAGGAAGGTGAGGGAGCTCATCGGCAGTTTAGCCACTCAGGAGGGAGAGTGGAAAGCTCTGAAAAGGAGGAAGCGAAAGTGAAAACTTGATTTAAATATGGGCTCCTTCAGCTGAGCCGTTTACCTGTACAGGCAGATGTTTGGGGAATAAACATTTTGTTGTATTTTTATGATTCTTCAGCATTTTTTCTTGAAAGCATTTTTTAATCGTCATCATTTCACATTAAAAGTTGTCAGTTTCTCATTTAGTTGATGTTAAATCAGATACTGTTTGTCACAGGTGAGAAACGCCTCCAATACGATATGCAATGCAAATAAAAAAACATCTTTCATACACGCTGTGTGCAAAACTACATTCATTGTTGCTCCACCCACAACTATTTTAATATATTTATAATCCAATGCTCCCGATAAAGTAATAGAGGCGTTATGATTGGACATATAGAGCGACACATTTCAGTGACAAGGCAAAGCTAATTAATTTGTATTGCACAATTCAGTACAAAGAATGCAAAGTGCTTTACATGATTAAAATATAGGAAAATAAAACAGAATCAAAGCAAGTAGGAAATAAAATAAAAAATGCAGAAGCAAAAAGGAACAGTTGGACTAAATAAAATAAAGTTGAAATAATGTTTCAGATAAACTGTTTAACTAAACAAATGTGTTTTTAGTCTTGATTTAAAGGAACTCAGGCTTTCCGCACTTTTACAGTTTTCTGGAAGTTTGTTCCAAATAATTGGAGCATAGGAACTAAATGCTGCTTCTCCATGTTTAGTTCTGGTTCCAGGTATGCAGAGCAGGCTGGAGCCAGAAGACCTGAGTGGTCTGGAGGGTCGATACACTGATAGCAAGTCTGTGATGTATTTACAGGTGCTGGTCATAAAATTAGAATATCATGAAAAAGTAGATTGATTTCAGTAATTCCATTTAAAAAGTGAAACTTGTATATTATATTCATACATTACATACAAACTCATATATTTCAGATGTTTATTTTGTTAAATTTTGATTACAAATGACAACAAATGAAAATCTCAAATTCATCATATCAGAAAATTAGAATATTGTGAAAAGGTTCAAAATTGATGGCCCCTGGTGCCACACTCTAATCAGCTAATTAACTCAAACCACCTGCAAAAGCCTTTAAATGGTCTTTCAGTCTAGTTCTATAGGCTACACAATCATGGGGAAGACTGCTGACTTGACAGTTGTCCAAAAGACGACCATCGACACCTTGCACAAGGAGGGCAAGACACAAAAGGTCATCGCTAAAGAGGCTGGCTGTTCACAGAGCTCAGTGTCCAAGCACATTAATAGAGAGGCGAAGGGAAGGAAAAGATGTGGTCGAAAAAAGTGTACAAGCAAGAGAGATAACCGCACCCTGGAGAGGATTGTGAAACAAAACCCATTCAAAAATGTGGGGGAGATTCACAAAGAGTGGACTGCAGCTGGAGTGAGTGCTTCAAGAACCACCACACACAGACGTATGAAAGACATGGGTTTCTGCTGTCGCATTCCTTGTGTCAAGCCACTCTTGAACCACAGACAGCGTCAGAAGCGTCTTGCCTGGGCTAAAGAGAAACAGGACTGGACTGCTGGTGAGTGGTCCAAAGTCATGTTCTCTGATGAAAGTAAATTTTGCATTTCCTTTGGAAATCAAGGTCCCAGAGTCTGGAGGAAAAGAAGAGAGGCACTTCATCCACGTTGCTTGAAGTCCAGTGTAAAGTTTCCACAGTCAGTGATGGTTTGGGGTGCCATGTCATCTGCTGGTGTTGGTCCATTGTGTTTTCTGAGGTCCAGGGTCAACGCAGCCACATACCAGGAAGTTTTAGAGCACTTCATGCTTCCTGCAGCTGACCAACTTTTTGGAGATGCAGATTTCATCTTCCAACAGGACTTGGCACCTGCACACAGTGCCAAAGCTACCAGTACCTGGTTGAAGGACCATGGTATCCCTGTTCTTAATTGGCCAGCAAACTCTCCTGACCTTAACCCCATAGAAAATCTATGGGGTATTGTGAAGAAGAAGATGCAATACACCAGACCCAACAATTCAGAAGAGCTAAAAGCCACTATTAGAGCAACCTGGGCTATCATAACACCTGAGCAGTGCCACAGACTGATCGACTCCATGCCACGCCGCATTGCTGCAGTAATACAGGCCAAAGGAGGCCCAACTAAATACTGAGTGCTGTACATGCTCATACTTTTCATGTTCATACTTTTCAGTTGGCCAACATTTCTATAAATCCTTTGTTTTTATTGGTCTTCAGTAATATTCTAATTTTCTGATATGATGAATTTGAGATTTTCATTTGTTGTCATTTGTAATCCTCAAAATTAAACAAAATAAACATCTGAAATATATGAGTTTGTATGTAATGTATGAATATAATATACAAGTTTCACTTTTTAAATGGAATTACTGAAATCAATCTACTTTTTCATGATATTCTAATTTTATGACCAGCACCTGTAGGTGCTAAGCCATTCAGAGATTTATAGACTAACAGAAGTATTTTAAAGTCTATTCTCTGAGATACAGGGAGCCAGTGTAAGGACTTTAGAACTGGGGTGATGTGCTCTACTTTCTTAGTCTTAGTGAAGACATGGGCAGCAGTGTTCTGGATCAGCTGCAGCTGTCTGATCTACTGTTTTTAGGCAGACCTGTGAAAACACCATTGCAGTAATAAATTCGACTAAAAATAAACACATGGATTAGTTTTTCCAGATCATGCTGAGACATTAGTCCTTTAATCCTGGACAACGCAGAGAAAGATGTGAAAATGGATCCATGTTACTGTCTGGAGGTAAATTAAATAGTTTTTTTTTTTTTTTAAGCTATAAAAGTTGAAGGTGTCTTCTTTAATTTCAATATCAGAAGTAGCAAAACTCTGCTGAAGCCTTGGTGAAACTGTTGTCATGGTGTTCTTGCTTTGCTGACCATACAGGAGCAAAGATAACTAAATGATGGAAAAACATGGCAAACGTCACTAAGAATGCTTATTCTGTCCATCTGATGGGATATGCATGTGTTTAACTTTAGCCATTAAAGGAGGGGAATTATTTGCTAAACCGCTCAGAACAAAAGTTATTGTTACCATTTATTGCAATAGCAGCTCTACAGACTTGGAAAATTTAGCATAAGCTAAAGCTTTAGATAGAGGGGAAAACAAGAAGGTTGAGAACACCATGGTTCCTAATGGTGGGGTGACAATTTTAAATTATATATGGACTAAAGATACCATAGAATATATGAAATTGCCGCTAAATGTAGTTAATACTCATCTGGAACAAGTCTCATTGTTTATTAAATATCACTCTGCCTTACAGATTTTCTCTAACTTTGAAATGATTATAACTTAGTTTCAGAATGTGACTGGGCTGGTATTAGCAGCTGCCACTGCCCCCCTCTGTGATGTGAAAAAAACCAACAGAGATTCATCCTTTTAGGACTGCATGAATGTACCAGGACACGGCAAAATACATGTAAATCACTAGAACACGTGTTTGCATGATGTGATGGCTCTTTTGATAAAATCATAACACACAATGCTGATCAGGGCCTGACCTGTTACATTGTTCAGCAAGTATAAACATCATCAGACACCTTAATCACTTTGCTCTAGAAGCTGCTTTTTAGTTTCCCCTTATCCTTTTCATGGTTCTGGGGAAGCATTTTTCTTAAATTTTTCACCTGCTCAAACTGAAATCTTATGTTTTTTTAAGGAACCTCAGATTATTGCTTTTTAAAATATTAAAATTTTAATTCAGAACATATGTCAAAATTGAAATTTTTGCCGTTGGATTTATTAAGATTACATATTAATCTACCTGCTATCATGTTGCTTGCTTGATGCTTTATCACTAATTTAATCATATGAAGGATGATCATCCAGATTAATCTTTGCATTAATCGGCACAGTTCTAATTCTGCATACTATCTCTAGCCAAATAACTAAATTAAATTGTACATTTGTTCCATGAGTGACTTATATGTAGTAGACTTAAATATGAGTCAAAACATTTTTTACCATGTTCTTGCACATTTATCTGCAATCAATAGCTGCCTGTAGATAAATGAAAAATAATAAGTGGGAAAAAATACTATAGGTTATTAGGCATTGGGGAACTTAAGCTTTTGGTGTTTTTTTGTAAAAAGTGAGAGCTTTTGATTTCAGCAGACTTTGTGATCAAACACCTGTCGTCTTCCTCATAACTGCGGCGGAAACATGGACACGTTCAGGGAAAACCTGCTCTATCAGAATCAGCCATTTGTTGCATTGCTGCAAGCTTTTATTTTTACATGTATGTAAAAATACAGGTTATCACTAGATGATCTTTTGCGCACCACATTGGTTCAAGTCAGAGTTGAGTTTGATCAATTCTATATGAAACACTCTGGATTTCACACCCACTCATGCAAGCAACCTGACTGCTGCTCTCAGGGGGTTAGTCTGACTCACTGTTTTCTTTTCCCAGCTTTCTCACAAGATAATGAATGTGAAGATCCTCTGACATCCATCTGATCCTGTCACAATGTAAACAGTGTCTCATTTATTCGTTACAGGAACTTATTTGCACATATTTATTGTTTTGACTTAAAGTGTATAAAAAATATCTCATATTACAGTAATGCAATCAATTATTTGCAATGAATTAGTGTATTTTTTTAATGGTTTGAAATTTGTTCAATCAGTCAGTAGTCAGTCTATTTTGTGCCATCTGCAACTGATCTCTAAAATTAAATCCTATCTACGTTGACGCCATGACTCAGCTCATTCAAGCTCCTCTACTTGAATTCTGTCACCCATGTTTTCACTTACCTTGATTTGTGTCCTGTCATGTTTAAACAGGTAGGAGGCTTCTCTTGAATGTTAATAAAAAATTAGGAGAGGGAAATTGTCCAACATTTCTTGGTATTCTGAAACTAAGAAGCCAAGCCCAGACCCTGAACAAAACAACATAATCTTCCATCCATCAAACTTTACATTTGGCACAATGTCAGGTCTGACAAGAACCCTTTTTCTAGCAACTCCCCCATCCAGACTTCTGCAGCAGATTGCCAGATGGAAAGGTGCAATTTGTCACAGCTGCATGCAAGGCTTTGCATTACTCTTCATTCCATTAAGCTCTGCTCACCGGTGTTGGGCTGAACTAAAAGCCCCTGGATGTTTCAAGGTCTGTAGAAAGTGACTTAACAGTTCAGGTGACCTACCGCTCCATGGCTGTCGTTCCAGATCACCTCTACTTTGTAACACCACTCTGACAGTTGACGGTAAGAGAACATTTCCCAACTTGCACAGGTGGCCTCCCATAGCAGTACCACGCTGGAGTTTATCAGGCTCCCTGAGCAACTCACTTGTAGGAGCTGTATGCATGCTTTGATTGCTTAATTGTGCACATATGCACATATGGCCCTGAAAATGTATGTTGAGCCCGATGAAAGCTCAGGTGCTTCCTTGTTTTGGCCACACATCCTTTACATCAGGAACTTCCTCCATGCAAAAGTACTTTTTGTTTATTAAAAACAGTTAACATTTAATTTGAATTCTCTTTATATGCATCCAGGATGTAATTTTTCTCCAGGAGCTGATTTAATGGAAACAGAGCAAACTAAAGTAAATCTTCCTAGATATAAAGCAAGTCTAGATCTAGCAATCTGCTTTTTTTGTTTACTCAGTTCCACAAACATAGACTGGCATGCAGGTGTTTAGCTGTCAACTGGAGAGGCAGCAGTGTCCTGTTCAAGGACATGACAGCAGGTGGAGAAGCGGAGGCCAAAGATCATCACCTCAGCAACAGCTTTTCCTGTTCCTGACGTCATCTGCTTGCACTGTTTAAAGCATTTTTAATATTCGCTGGGCTTGAATTTAGTTTTTTAAAGCTAAAAAAAATCCAGGATTATAGATAGATTCACAATGCAAATCATGCAATAATTTTCTTTAAGGGCATCTTTTAAGTCCATAAAGAGTAAACATTAACATCTGTATCTGCTATATAAAGGTAACACACCTACTTTTCTTCAAAATAACAGCAACAGTAATTTACTACCTATGCTTGACTGATTCAAACTGTTGAACAAAAAGCCCAATGAGTTAGTTTCTGATTGCCAATTGCCAGTCCTCTATTTTCTTGCCTGTATAGCTTAATTTTCCAGGCACTTTTTAAATGTATTATACAGTATGATTTTTCAACAAGTTCCCATCTCAACTTAGAAAAACTCAAATGTGAAAAAGCCAACTATGTTTTACAGCTAATCAATAAGACAATTACTGTATCTAGTTTTCTGTAAAATTCAAATTCAGAAATTATCAAAATAAGGGTTGTTGTTTGTTGTAGAACAATAATTCTAAGATATTTTTTGTTGCTTTTGCATCTGTGAGCCTTGTTACTATGCATGTTGTCAAAGAAACGCACCTTCCCCGCCCAGGCATGTTTTTTGGTGATTGAATTTTTCCTGATACTGCAATTTGTTTCTTTTTGAGTTTTCAGTTACAGTTTGATTTTTGCCATTCTGTGTTTTGTTGGTCATTTCTTTTCCATTTTGTGTTAAGTTTTAGAAGTGTTGGATTTTTTGAGTTACTCTCTGTAGTCCCTTGTGCCAGTCTCCTTTCTAGCTCCCTTCTAGTTACTCCTATCCACACCTGCTCCCTATCAGCCGATCAGCCCATTCTGTGTTCTCCCATATAAATATATATAAATCCTCATTTGTGTTTTTCCCTGGTAACTCCTGGTTTTGGTTTCTATTCTATTCCGGGATTTGTGCTTCTGTTGCCATCTCGATTTAAATTAAATCTGCAAGAACTCATCTCTGTCTCCTCATCCTCTCTGCATTTGGGTCCTCAGCCAACTTCCACCAAACCTGACAGAATTGCTTTAAGCTCTTGTTTTATTGCCATGACTGGACATATAGGCAAATTTAAACACTTTTGTGTTGCTACTCTCTAATCTTTGAGTGAAAACAAAGCTGACCTTAACTACTCTTATTTTTCCCTTTTTCAAGAGCAGCTTCACACTATCATCCTTTATGTTAGGCTGTTTGTATACTACGGAAAAAAAGGGTTGAAGATTATTTAAAATGTTTGTAACTTATCAGTCATCCTGTTCTTGCTAGCCAATAAAAAGCTATTCAGACATTCATTTAGTTTTTCTGAAGACTTTTTGAGAGCTATTCAGAAATCTTTATCAAATATGTCAGCTCACATGGGAGCAATCTGTGGTTAGAGTCATGATGTTCAGTGATTGCTTTTACCTTTTAGTAAAGGTGTCTTTCTTCACCCCTCTTTTTTTCCTCTGTCCACAATCTGAACATTTTGGTCACACAAGGTGTGTCCTTTGTTCTGAGTTTGAAGTGTATGTCTGTATCTTCATAGCAGTCCTCACTGCACTGAAGCACATCAACAATGCCACTCAGTGGTGTTCTGTATTTGGGAATAACCAGTTTTTTCTGAGTGTGTTGTTGGGTTTGAAGTTCTAAAGTGAAGTGATTTTCTGACCTGTTTGTTTTCTTTTCATTTCTCCTCTGTAACTGTCAGCCAGGTGACTCAAGAGTTCTGAAAAGTTTGGAAACGCTGTGCTAAAATAGCCTGACGTAGTCCTACTCAAATCTAGTCAGAATATTAGTCTGATACTGCTCCATAGAGCTGTGATTATGGGGCGTGTTTCGAACGAACCAGGAAAAAAAATGCCTCTGCACTCAATTGGATAGACCTACAACCAATAAGAGCAACGGAGTGCGTGACGTATGTTAAGCGACCAAGGGAGCCAGCTGATAAATTAAACTTTTGCCAAATCCCGTAGGAAGGACGCCAAAAACATCTTTCTTTTCAACAAATGCCTTGATCGCGTTTCTCTGTTCCCCTTTTAAAATTAATTTGCTGTTGATATCTTCTAGAACAGACCTAATAGCAGAATCTACACACCTCAACTCTCCAGCGGCAGCCATTGTTGTTGTCACCCAAGCGCGCTTTGGTGACGTGGTTGATTACGTTACTGTTGATCATCTGTCCATCATCGTATAAAGCCCGCCCTGACAATTTGATTGGCCCGACCAGATATTGGGCGAGCATACTCGCGCTACTATTGAGCAATGCCAGACCGAACTTCCCGACCTCAAACGTTGTGGGCGGGACTAAGTTCGGAATGGCACCCAGGCTAGTGCTAAGAAGTACAATCAACTGCAATCCATCGATTGAGCTTAAAACTGTTAATTCTGCATTGTTTCCCATCTGAATAAAAGTTAACATAAACATTTTCCATCAGTTTTTGCTACCGCAATACCAAATGCATTTATTTAACAGATTTTTACAGGACTTTTCCAGAGGTGCCAGTAAATGTTGGAAATCCTGATAAGTATTTAAAAAACAGCAATTAAAAAATAAAATTCAGTCTATTTTATACTATTCTACATCAAATATAACTCTTACATTATAAGATTAAGATTCATGTAGAAACATGTAGCAGTCAAGTAGCAGTCTTATTCAGAAAGTTGAAATATGAACAAATTTGTTTTGTAAATCTGCAATTCATCACACCTGCTTGTCTGTATATAAATTGTGAGCGTAGTCCCATTTTTTACATATTTTATTCAATATTAGAATCCAAATAAATCATTACACATTGGTGAGGCTGAATATTACTTTACATGCTATAAAATACAACGAGAATGCACAAACAGCCCAGCACTTTATAGTCCATTGCAGAAAACAGTGACAAAAATGCACAACAAAATAGAGACTATTATTATGCATCCATTTTCAAACAGATCCGTGTAAATTGTTCATTTATATATCGAGACACTTAGGTGTTTGTAGATTGTGGTATACTTCAATGTTTGTGTTACTGACGCAGCCAAACAGCTGACACGGGATAGACGGACCCTCTGTGATCAGGTGACCTTCTCAGTGGGAGGGAGTCACTGTAAATGACAGCTGGTCACAGAGAACACACACACCTGAGGCGCCGCCGGGACGCACAGCACACTCACACAACAGTTCTCCGGCACTTTACAAGACATTTACTGCAAAGGCAGAACAGCACACACAGAAACCCACAGACGTTGAGCACAGACTCCGTGACGGACCGGAGGCGAGGCATGACGGGACTTGGCAGAGCGACACGGAATGTTTGGATCGTTTTCCTTTGACTGTGAAACCATCAAGCCACTTAGTCGTCCGAGTCCTCCTGGGGGAGACAAAAGGAAAAAGAGGTTTTCCTGTGGCTCTGTCACACAAACAAATGTGATATGATCCCTTTACTCCATACTAATGTCACATCTGAGACACAGGAGCTGGTCTAGAAACAACCCGCCCATTTATATGATTTATTAATGACCTCTGACTGCTGTCAAACAGGGCTGAAAGTCATCCTGTGGTCATGACAGAAAAATGTCTCAGACATACATTTACTTTCTGTCTTTATCATTAATCAACACATCTCTGTTAAAATTCTTATTATGGGTATACAAAGTAAAATAATGAAAAAAAAACAATTTTATTATATAATCCTCTACCAGTTTCTGTATGATTGATAAACCCATTAGCACTTGAAAAAGTAATCATCACCATTATACTGTTGCAATACCACAAATGACTGCAGGATAAATCCTAAAGATGTGCTTTACTTCTTTGTATTGCGTGTAGTAGGCCAAGTCACAGTTTTACCTCTGTAGGTTCAGTGAAGTCAGTATCGATTGGTGACTCCACTGCATCGGGTACCGCTGTGACATCCCCACCCTGGAGAGCAAGACAGAAATGTATTTTACCTCCAGATTCAACACCTTCTCCCTTTACCTTTTATATACTTTCTCTGATTGACTATGTATAGGAGATACTATGCGTAGAGTTAGTTTTTCACCCCTCATCTCGTTTTCTTTCTGCAACATATTTGAAGAATATGTTGTATATGTGATTTTTTTTAGATATTGCAAAAACTGTTTTATATCCTAACCCTGCTTTAAACTTCTTTACAACTCTGTCCCCGACATTTCTTCTGTTGTTTGGTCTTCTGAATGTTCTCCAATGTTTTCTCTAGAACATCAGAGCATCCAAAAAAGGCAACAAACTGGTTGCATTACATCTTATTTAATTTTATATGCATCCTACAAAAGGATTTAGACAAAATATTTAAACCACTTATTTTCAGGAAGTTGTATGATGATTTTTCTAGTGCTTAACCCTTTATAGGACATTCAGTGAAAGACTTTAATTGTCCAAGTTAAGTAATTTTCTCTTAAAATAAGCGATTTTTTTTCTTGAATTGAGCAGGTAAGTGAGACACTTTGCAATGGAATAAGAAAAATTACGTTTAAAATAAGGGGAAAAGTGCAGTCTCCTATTTCAAGTGCATAATATCAAATAATCTTATTTAAAGGATAAAAATGCTCCATCCACTGGGATATTTTCTTATTTACCTACTCAAATTAAGGGTAAATACACTTATTTTAAGACATTTTCACTAATTTTTAGATATTTTTTTGTAGTGTGTTATTGGAATCCAGGACAAGACCTTATTATCTTTGTAACATTAAAAAAATATGGATATTTTGATGGCAAAAATGAATGTCAATGTAATAACAAGAAAGGCCAGCTTGCCCGAATATATATATATAAAAAAATAACAAAAGTGCTTCTATAAGAAATTCATGAAAAAAACTCTGAGAGTAAAAGAAACACATTATTTTTTTTTAGGTACAACATAACCTTAGAGGCTTATTAACCCTTTAGCTTTACTTTCTAACTTTTCATTTATCTTTTATTCTTTTTTCCAACTTAATTTACAGTAGGTAATATATCATTCAAGGGCTCATCTAATTGGTCTAATGCCAAATCAAAATGCACAGCCATGTAGCAGTATCCTTGTCGAATGGCTGGATATAGATCTTGTGCTTCTAGACCTCACTGAGAGACGGGGGGCTCCATTTCTAAGGGGAATGCAAGTGATCAAAAAGAGTTACTTGTCCTATGAAGGGTTAAAATCCCTGCAAAATAAGAATAAAAAACTATGCAGTAAATACTCAGGTAAGGAACAGTATTAGCCTCTATTCTTAAAAAAATCAAAAGGGTAAATTATATTTAAAACACTGTTTTTTAGTCTCCTCTGCATTCAGCTGATAAACCCTTTTCAAAGGACAGCTTTAAAAAAGCTATCTGCAATTGGTCTTAGCCCCAAAGCCCAATTGCATTTAGGAAGAAGGCAATGGACAGTACGGATATGTTTATTTTGTCTAATCTAAAAAAGTATATCATTCATCTCAAACTAAAAGTTGATCAGCTAAAAGCTGAGCTCCATTTAAGATAAGGTTCCTACACCTGTAAACACAGTAGTACACAGTTGTTGTCTGCATAACTGGTATCAAACAAAACACATTTACTTTAGAACATAATCAAAATAAAAGCAATAAAAAAAAACAAACAACTATAAAATTGTGTTTAAACTTAAACACAAAACTATTCTCTATCACAACAGCCATTATGTTTGTTAGTATTCTTGAAACAGGAGGATGAGTTTTAACACAGATGGAAAATGGACGTCTCTCTGGCCTTGATTAAACTGTGCCGATGGCCTGACTTTCCATAATGGAGGTTTTTCACCTTCTCCTCATCCTGTTGCATCTATAACCAGCCAACAAACCTGTATTCTGCTGAAACAGTTCTCTGCTGGTAAATAAAGTCCATTTTGGTTAAAATATTAAGATCGCACAACCTTGTCTGAATCAACTCTGTAGGCGTAAACTCACTAATGATGTAAAACATTTGGTTTTCTTTTTGCTCTTTTGTTTCAGCCTGGTTGTTTTCTGTAACATCTGTGTATTTCCCTGTCCTTGTACCTTTCCAGTCACTCTGTAACTGGATGAGTCACAGGCAGCTGATGAATTGGTGAAACACTGGATGAGAAGATTAATCTGGACAACACGTCGCAAATGCTTGTCTGTGGCTGTCTTTATCTGTCTGAGTGTCTCAGGAGAGGCGCTGAAGGACTTTTTCCACCTGGCATTCATTTTTAAATAGAATCAATATTAATGATGTTTAATGACTCTGAGCCGCATGGGAACGTTTGTTAAATGAGGACAATCTGCTGCCATCTATATGCCAGTCTTTTGCTAAAAGGAATCAGGTTATAATCTTTTCCGATCCAAAAGGTTTCTTCTTCTTATCCGACCTCTAAATCAGCGCAGATGCATTATTATCTGTCTATTGATCTGTCATTTCACCTTCTCCCCCTCAATGATGCATTTTTTTTCACCTGTTTTGTTGATACTAATAAAACAAGCAATGTTATAGATTAAACAAAGCAGCTGTATTAGGTAAAGCTGAAGCTTTCGAATTGTACGTCTTAATGGGGCACATCTCTGCTTACTGAAACCTGTGAAGACACAGTTAAAGAGACGTGAGCGGTTGGAGTCACGAATTGCTGTCATGAATTCCCCTGTGCCTTGGCGCTAATTAGGGAACTAAAGATTTACCATCACAACAAACAATAAAAACCGTGTTTGTGTTCCCTGGGAAGCATGTGTTTCCTGCAGCTGAAAAACAAGTGAGTATTTACAGCCAAATTAAGCTCACCAATAGGGATAGTATTTGTTTTACTGTTTCATTAATAAAGGTGGGAAAAAAATGTATTAATTAAAAAATTTGTGATAAGTTTGAGGAGATCAACATTTTTATAGTTTAAGACTCACAAAAGTCTGTTTTTAGTTGGTCTGTTAACTTCAGATTAAATAAAAACCCAACGTGTTTACTACAAGGTCTAAGGTCTCATAGATTAAGGCCCAACATATCCCCAATTGGCCCCTAAACACTTCCCCTAAGCACTAACCCTCGGTTAGTGTGTTCCTGCGGAGGGTTTGCTACATAAAGGGCCGTCCCAAACCACATAGTGGGTAGGACAAGGGGAGAGTTAAATAGAGAGCCCTAAAATAGAGAGTCTGCTTCATTGCAGCGTGGATTGCAATGGGTGTAATGGCGATCTATATTAAAATATAGGTTTAACCATTATTAAAATATAAGTTCGGCTGGTTTGCTGCATCTTCATCACATTGATAGAAAATCACAAGATAGGAAAAAGAAAAAAAGACGTCATAAATTCCCAAAAAGGAAAGGTCTTATTTGACTGTAGAAAGTTATATTTAATAAAGGGGAAAATGTTCGACGTCACGTAGACCTTTGCCACACAGCCACAGCCATGCACATGGGGCGCCACTGTGTTTCCATAGCAACAAAGTGATGGTTTAGTGTTGGGCCTTGCATTTTCAGAAATTAACTAATCAAATGATGCCATTATCCATAACACATCGTTCAAATATTTGCATGTATATAAGAAATCTTAAAAAAACAAAAAAAAAAAACAGCTAAATAAATAAAAGAAAAAACACCCACAAATAAAACCTTCATACAGTAAGTCAGGAAAGTGTCATGAATTTACATTGGAATGTTAGCTAAGATGTTGGTAGAGGTTTTTTTTTCCTGTTTTTCTAATTTTGCCACACCAAGAATGAAAGATTACAGAACTATTAACAGAAATATTGCTGAGCTAATTTAGGCTGCACTGGTTCTGTGGAATTCACATTAAAGACCACAGGAGGAAATCTATAAAAGCCAAGTAGACATGGTAATATGAGCATTAAAGCCCTAAATGTAACAACAAGTGAAGATTATGTAAAGACATTCAATACAAACATTCATAAATATAACAATGAGAGCTGGAAATTAGATATTCTATACATATGAAATCATATACACGAGTTTTACATAAGAACTATGACAAGATGTAATTGATTAGACGGAATAAAATGTAATTAATGTCCCTGTTCTGCTTAGTAAACTGTAACAATAATGTATAAACTAAGAAAAAATTAAAACAAAGGACTAATTTCTATTCTTATGTTACTTTTAAAATCAATTAATATCTTAGCAAAAAAAAATAAAAATAAATCCTCACTTTGGGTTCATAGCAGTGACTCTATGTTTGCCATAAACCAAAGTTTTATGTTTCTTTAGTGAGTCTGCATATAGCAGTGTGCTCATATAATGCAAAATGTTTGGCTAAATTCTTTGTTCATATCATTAAATTGAAGAAAAAAAAAGGAGTTAATGATTTTTTTATGCCTTTAATTTATCAAAAAGACACCTTTGATTTTTATCATCTGCATCTTTAGAGTCAAACGGAGACACAATAAAGAAGAGAAGTCACTTTCACAGAGATGAAAGTAGCATAATTTCTCATGTTTGACTTGAGTCTGAACAGAAAACTGTTTGCTACGATAAACGGCCTTAGCCTTCCCTTCCCCTTTAGACAAAGGCCAGACTGATGGAGGGTGCCGGGTAGCTACCAGCGTGTAACAGCTTTCATTTCAGGTGAGAAAGACACGACAACAGACATGAAAAATGATGACAAATGACTCAAGGGCGATGCGCCATCTTTAACACAGTGAAGACTTAGTTTGGAGCTCCAACATGAAATGGAGGAAAGCATTGTGCTGCTGCCTCAGGGTAGCTTTAAATTAACTGGTACATCTGTACGCAGACAGTGCACTGATATAAATGTAAATCACTATTGGACTTGAAGCTCCTCATATTCTGCTGTAGATATTAAACATATTTAAATCATGTTTAAATAACACAAACATGTACAATATACTGAAAGCATTTATTCATGTTCTTCAATTATTTTTTGAATTCCTCAAACAATGACAGGTTGCCAGTTTTTCAACAAATCCCTTTATTAAGTTTCCTCACTACCAATATTTCTCAGTTAACAGTTAGTGTTGTTACAACAAAGTGAGAGTGATGGGAACAACACTAATTCAGGCACAAACTGATAGACTACATATCATCACACAATAGGGGCAGAAGGTGCTGAGGCACATAATGTCAAGAGTCAATAGCTTCAGACCTCCAAATATATCTTTCATAGAGATTTCATACCAGCTATCTGTAATGCGCTACAGTCCAGTTTCTGGAATGAATCACAATGCTGTTAGCCCATCTCAGACCAAGGAAGAGACCCTACAGAACCCTACGCTGGTGTGGTTACAACTGGCAGGGTTTCATGGGGTTTATTTGAAACTTGGAGCAATTTGGTTGCAGTGTGAATTAATTCCGGTCCCAGGAAAATAAAACCAGTAAAATGATGAAAGAGCAGCAGACTTGAGTAAGAGAAGAAGATATACAGAGTAAATGCATAATGCTGAATATGAAATAGTTTAAAAAGGTCTTATGGTGTTATGATCTTGCCGTTGATGATTAGCCTGATTACTCATTTCATTCACCTGTCTAACTCTGTCCAATTTGTTGTTACTGTTCATCTTATCCATCTGCTCTTGTCTCTATTTAACCTGTCTGCTCTCAGTCATCAGTCAGAGCCTTTGATCAGAGTTCTCTAGTGTAACTGTTTGTGCTTTGATTGCCTGATCCTGACCCGTTCTGCCTTTGTACCCCTGAGCCTACCTGTTCCTGTTCTGATTTGTTTGCCTGACTTGTTTTTGGACTCCTGCTGGATTCTGTCTGTTATCCTGTTGTCCTAACCTGGAGCTGTTTCCCGTCACCGACCTGGTTTTCCCTTAGAAAACTCTTCGGACCTTGAATCATCTGGTTCTGAATACTGAGCAAGTGTTCAACACTGGCTTAGCCGTGTGCCCAGATCTGGTCTCCTGCTGCGTCTTGTTGTCAACCTGAACGGCTGGAATCAACCTCGTTTTCTGAGCACGGACTGAACTATAAAACCAGGTTAGTGATCAGAAGTTCCTGCGCTGTTTGGCAGATGTGACATCAAGCACGTCCATGTTAAATCTAGCCAACAAATCAAATATTCAAGATGGATTTTGTGGATACTCTGAAGCAACTGGCAATCAGCTCTTCTTTAGAGCTTCAACTTCAATCTTTGTCAACTTTATGTTCCCTATCTTCTATTTTTAATTTAAAAAAGGCTTGTCTGTGCAATGCTCCTTCATTGTAGCTCAGAGCCATATCTACTCTGTGAATAAATTTTGCTATATGAATGAAAACAAAAGTTCAGATTTATCAACTTCATTCATGAAGGTGAGGCGCCAACTTTGTCTAAAAATTGCACCGTTCACGTCCCTAAATTTACCACCATTGTCTCGCCCAGCTTCACTCCACTTTGCGTCGATCCAAAACTTCAGCATATAGATTACAACGGATTCCTTAGCTCCAAATGTGAAATTCGCATTCAGTGTGTAAGTTTCTTTATAATGTAGCTCATAGGTACACTAAGAAGTATGCACAGGTCGCTCAATAAAAGCCTTTCATAAATACAGAAGTTATTGTGTGAATTTTGAAATGGTTTAAACGTTTTTACTCTTTTATTTGCATAAGATATTTTAATGAGATATACTTACAGTGGGTAAGTATACTGAATGCAAAGAAACGTAATTGGTTGCCTATTTAGGTGCAGTAATGTTAAATCATTGTTTGATCAACTAGTTATGTATACTGCCCAGTAATTGACCTACTATCTAAATCATCTAACTAATACTCTCACTAATCACCTGTTCATCTATTTGATATTGCTATCTGTATAAAAGACATCAGTCTACAGCCTGAAAGAGTCAGACTCCAAACTCAGTCCTGGCCAAGAATAAAAATAAGAAGAAAATTATAATTCTACACCAGGGTGGGTAGAGTGAATCTACAATAGTATAATAGGTTGGTGTCAATAATTCAACCATGGGAGCAATTGTAAGAAAATGGAATACATACAAGGCCATTAATAATCTCCCTCAATTTAAGATCTCATCCTGTGGGGTCAAAATGATCATGAGAACAGTGAGCAAAACCCCAGAGGGGGCCTGATGAATGGCCTGCAAGGAGCTGGGAGCAAAGTTCCAAAGGCTACCATCAGTTACAGACTGCGCCAAGAGGAATTCAAATCCTACAGTCCCAGGCGTGTCCCCCTGCCAAAGCTAGTACATGTTCAGGTCTGTCTGAGAGTATGGACGATCCAGAAAATTTGGGGAAAATATCATGTGGTCATATGAAACCAAGATAGAACTTTTTTTGCACAAACTCAACGTATGTTTGGAGGAATAAGAATGCTGATATGCATCCCAAAAGCACCATATGTACTGTAAAGCATTGGAGTGAAAACATCATGCTTCTGGGCTATTTTTCTGCAAATGGGGACAGGATAACTGATCTGCTGTTAACCCATAACAACTTCTATCATTGAATGCACTGAAAATGGAACATGACTGGGTCTTTGAGCATGAAAATTATCCCAAACACAAAACTCGGACAATAGTGGCTCTGTATTAGCATTTCAACTTTCTGGAGTGGCCAGTGTCAAGACCTCAACCCCATACTTTTTTGGAGGAAATTAAAAGTTGGTGTTATCCAGCAACAGAACTAAATCATCACTGCTCTGAGGAGATCTGCATGGAGGAACTGGACAAAATATCTTCAGTAAATAGCTCCAGTATGTGCAAAATTGGTGAAGGCCAACAGAAAATGTATGACTTCAGTTTGCAAACCAAGGTCACAGAGTAGTGAGTTTAACTTTTTTATTGACCAAATACTTGTTTACCACCATAATTTGCAAATAAATACTTAAAAAAAATGTTTAAATGTGATTTTTTTTTTTTATGTGTCTCTGATAGTTGAAGTGAACCTATAATGAATCATACAGCCCACTCTCATGTTTCTAACTAGGATAACCTGCATAATCAATGGCTGACTAAATACTTTTTCCCCCACTCTGTTTATATATATATATATATATATATATATATATATATATATATATAATTTTTTTGGGGGGGGATTGTGTAGTAGAGTGTAGCATTTAGATTTATTGTGTAAGGGCCAAGGAAGAGCGCAATGGATTTACCTTCACAAGTGTAATTATAATGTGTCATGTATATATTTATTTTGTGTGTGTTTGTTAGCTGGCTACTTGCCTTTCCCAGCTCTTCTCCATTTTGCCAAATACTGTAAGCAGATGCACTTGCCACTCTCCCAATTACCTTCATTCTTCCCAGCTGTTCTTCTGCCTATTTATACCTGCCTTTGTTAGTTGCTCCTCAATCACTCATCATCATTCAGTCTGCTCAAAGGCTGTTTCCAGCCTGTCAGCCATATGTCAGTCCGCTCAAAGGCTGCTTTTAGCCTTTCATCCATCATTAAATCTGCTCAAAGTCTTTTCTTTTAGCCTTTCAGCCATTATTAAGTCTGCGCAGAGCCTGCTTCCAGCCTGTCAGCCATGATTCAGTCTGCTCAAAGGCTGCTTTCAGCCTTTCAGTCATCATTGCATCTGCTCGATGTCTTCTTTCAGCCTTTCAGTCATTATTAGGTCTGCTCAAAGGTTGCTTTGAGCCTTTCAGTCATCATTAGGTCTACTCAGAGCCTGCTTCCAGCCTGTCAGCCATAATTCAGTCTGCTCAAAGGCTGCTTCCAGCCTGTCAGCCATAATTCAGTCTGCTCAAATTCTTCTTTCAGCCTTTCAGTCATCATTAAGTCTGCTCAAAGCCTGCTTTCAGCCTTTAGTCATCATCTGCCTTCTTAGGTCTGATACCGGACAGTTCAGCCTGTCACCAATTGTTTCTGCCTTTACCGGTCTCTCCAAACATACTACCGGTCTGACCTGCCAACATTCATTAACATTCATTAAAATTATTTTAATAAAAGTTTTGAAATGCTCACTTCGGGGCTAGCTTAATCATGGGTTCTCAGAGGTCCTCTTGTTACAATAAAGGGTGCATATTTAATGTGATGTTTACAGTTAAGCGTAGCTGGATGTAGTGTAATTTAGGGACTATTAGTTCTGTACATTCTAATAAGCATACTAATGCAGACAAGGATTAGGGCTTAGAGGAAAGAGCCGCTGTATTGCAATCAAAAAGGTCCAATTCCTGTTTCCTCATGTCAAAATGATCAAGTATTAATGTATGAATATGTACTTATTGGAGAGAGAAATTGAATGAACATTACTATATTTTAAGCTATTTGAGTAGCCATTATGACCAAAAAAGTTCTATATAACCTCAGTCTGTTTACTATCATAGATAACACACATAGTCCAAAAATAATAATCCTCCCATTTTGAAATAGATTTTTCAGTTATGCCCGTACATACAAAAAGTAAAAAAAACAGTGTGAGAGCACATTCAGTTAGGTTTGTGATCATACCATGTACCTGTTGTCTTTAATAATGTGAAGAACCGTTCAAGGATACAGATAAAGTTTAAACTGGAGATACAACTGAAAACTAATGCAACTTAATAAAACCAGCCCTTTATGGTCCGTACGTCAACGGTTGTGTCAAAATATTAAAGTCATGTCTGCCGGTAAAAATAACAATTTTATACTTAATATAACAATGCAAATTTTGAATAGAGATTAAAGACTCTTTTTAAAAAAGTATATAAAAGATACTGTAATTTTAATAGCTTAAATTAACATATATTTCGTATATAAACTCTCACAATACCTTTATGAATATTTTAACCTAATGTTATTTATTTCTTGAACTATGCTCTTACAAAATCTTTAATATTTCCTGAGTAAGTAGTGACAAAGCTTCATTAAATTAAAGGCAAAACCTTGAAAAATGGAACAAGAGTCGTAATCAGACAGCATGAGTTAAGTTTTTAACCAACAAAATGTATTTTAAAAAAACTTTCTATTCAACATTAGATGAAAATAGTTTTTTTTTATTTTTACTTGTTTGGCTGGATCCTTCTTGACCAATCCAGTGGCAGCAGCGATGTTGCCCGCTCCTTCCACAGTTTTCTGGGCCACAGCCGTAACCCCGGTAACCACAGCTCCACCCATATGAGACACTCCAGACACAGTTTTTCCAGCAACTGCAGGGACAAAAGGAAAGAAAGAAGAACAGAGGGGAGTCTGTATTATTTTAGTCTGCAGACCACTGAGGATTGCAAACAGGAAGATTTACAGCAACGTTATTGGAGTAATCTGAGCAACGGAGCTAATCTGATGGAAAGAACTAATTTTTGATATGATGTTTAAAATCAAGTCATTCCTAAATAATTTTTTGCTGAGTTGCAAACAGATTGAGAAAGGTCCACGTGTAATTGAATCAGCTAACCTAATCTCATGAAGAGCCTTGGGTCATTTCTGTACAGAGAGGGAAGGCAAACAAATATGTCCTCTTGTGGACTAATCACCTTTGATGGACGGTTTCAATCAAAACAAAGGCTACAGGTGAACTCATAAGGCGTTCACTGATCAACCAGTGTTATACAGCGTCGTTAATCAAGAGCAGAAGGCTTACTGGGCATAATCATGGCCTGTGTAGATCTCTCCAAAGCAGATTATCGGATTATTTAATGCAGACTGCTGACATTATGCCATTGTGTATTTATCTTGCAGTCACTCACTTGCTTTGCATTAGAAATGAAAAGACAAGCAGTTTTCCAGGGTCCCTACTGCACAACCAGTGAGGTTGGCCTGGCTCTGCTCCAGTTTTTATGTGAGAAATAGAACAACAAAGCCTGCAGGGAGTCATTCAGGTGTAGTGGTGAATTAGGCAGTAGAATATGACACTTACCCCACAGGGTAACAATAATCTGGCCTGTTAACCACCTGAGGTTTGAGTGAGGCACCATCACTTTACTCTTCACTCATGTGAAAGATCTGCAGAGTTAAAAACTAGTCCCCTGTCTCTGAAAGTAGGCCTGGGTTGGTATGATATCCTTTCTGAACAAGTATTAAAGATACCATGAAACAAAAAATATAAAACAGTAAGCACTGATTTAACTTTTTTATTTAAAACAAAAACAACAATTATTCCTTTTGCTGCAAAGACAGGGCTGGAGTCAGAAGGATGAGGGCCTCCAGATTAAATCCAGTTTTTGGAACAAATTTATAGGTCATGGGTCACCTTTTTATAATTCACGCACCAAATTAAATTCTTATGAAATGTTTGGTCCCTTTTGACATCCGGAGACAATATAACTTATTGATTTTATAAATTCATTTGTTTTTAATAGTAAACACAATCAAATTTGAACAAATTGCAGATTTAAACTATTCTACTTTGCAGAATATGTGCATTGGGTACAATAATACTGCCATTTAACTTTAAAAAAGGAACAATGAAGCATAACAATGATCATAAGTCTACTAATACATCTCTCTCTCTCTCTCTCTATATATATATATATATATATATATATATATATAAGTAGATAGATAGATATAGATATATTTTTATAGCTTTTTTATTTTCGTTGTAGTTCTTTTAGAAAGCCATACTGTGAGAAAACATATAAGTCACATGTAGTTTTTGAAGAACATGTGGAACAAGGTTCATATCAACATTAAGGTTATTTGTCCTTGCTCGTATCAATTTTTAAATTAGAAGTAGTCATTGAGCTCCTTTTTCCAAAAAATGCCCAATATCAAAAAGACATTATATTTAGAAAAGACAAAACAGCACAGAAAATCTTAGTGTGCCGGTTCTGTTTGGTGGGAGGTTATACGTTGGTGCAGTTGTTGATTGGCAGCAAGAAGGTCTCAGATTCACATCTTAGTCTGGGGTCTATCTGCAAGTAGTTTGTTTTCCCTACATATGCATTGGTTTTCAGAGTGCTTGGTTTAAAAGCAATAGCTTCACATTATCCAATGCTGGTTGCAAAAATTGTTCATTAAAAAAAACACACAGACAATTCGCAGCTACTAAACTCACAGGGTCACAGGCTACTGCCCTAATAAATCTTTTCTAGGGTCTGTCTGCCTGATTACACTTTAACATCTGGATAATATTCATCTATAATTCAAGTATTCTGTGGGATCCTGTCAGAGATGCTTTCAAAGAGACAAATTTTTCTTTCCTTCTCCCACAAAAAGAAAAAAAGAAAAAAAGTAACTGGCTTCTAAAGTCAGCTGACTGGCAGGGTGCAGCATCAGGTTTGGGGTGGGGTAGCATTGCACTACTCTTATTAACGAAGTCAGAAAAAATGCCCGTTCACAACATATTTTAGGGAATCTAATTAAATACATTAATGTAAGAGCTGAATGGTAAGTTGGCATGATTTCAACACATTCGTAACCAGTCAGGAGGACCTAATGTGGCCCTAAAGTTTAAACTGCCACAAAAAACACATATATTTATATATGTTGGTCCCCCTGGATAATGTGTTAAAACAATATATTCAATTGGTTCAAAATCATCAAATCGAGGCCTATATATAAACAAACAATACTCAGACCCAAATCACATTAGACATAAACAGGAACTAGCCTCAAACTCATGTTCCACAGCAAATTTCTTTCTTTGCTGTGTTTGAGTTGCATTGGTTTCAACAGGCTCTGCTTTGTACTTTTTTTTTTTGCTCTGCTGATCACATTTCTAGCAATGGTGCTGCCATTATATGGAACATCTTGGAAAGGACAGGTTCAAAACTGTGGTTGCGGACCTCAAACTGATTTCTAAGATAAAATCAATCCATCTATGACATTTTTCATGTGTAAAAAACAAACAAACAACAAAACCGATCTAGATGGAGCATCAAAAATGGCCCAGATACCTGAAACACAATCAAGACTGGTATCAAGTATTTAAACGTGAATACTGGGGAAGAATAATCATAATCTGATTAATAAAAAAAGCTGTTACCTGAGGAGACCCCATCCTTTGTTTTATTTCCTGAAAGAAGCAAGGCCCACAATGTTACACAGTATATACACTGATACACCTAATAATCACAATATTGTTATAATGAGAATAATACTGTGATTTTTTTTTTAAGTAGTAATTTTCTTATAATAAATCAGATGATTTCCTGAAACCCACCGACATACATAACCCCATCCTTAGTCATCTCAGCCGCTCCAGTCACTCCCTGCTTGGTTTTCTCTGCAGCTGCCACGACCCCATCCTTGGCTTTAGAGAAACCCTTCATCAGCGCGTCCATGGCGGCTCGGTTCGGCTCCCAGAAAACACGCACCCAGCTGCAGAACATGAGACGCATGATGAGGATGAACCGAAACAATAGTGTTAAAACACAGAAAATGATGCCACCGCCCCGCCTCTGTTTTTTATTGTAAGCTGAGCTGCCACATAGAAGCAGCTTTGGAGTAAATCCCACCTGTAGGAATGAATGGAAACCTGTGAATGGATTTACTATTAATGCAAAGGAAATGGAGAAAACTGACCAATTATCATATTCTTTCCCTTTAATTAACGATATTTTTTCCGGAGAAGAGAGGAGAAGTGTTTTACGCACCTGTTTGCTTCAACTTCCTTTAAGCCCGCGGTGTGATGGGTCTCTCCGGATGGCAGCGGAGTGTCTATCCCCCCAAAGAGTAAAATAAAACCGATTTTACTGTCAGCAAACTTCAGCTGCTCGGACGGACAGAGAAGACTCTCCACAGGTCCGTTTGACAGACGCCTCCCACGCCACGGAGAGATGGAGAAAGCGCGATTGATCAGCCTCTCTCTCTCTCATACACACACACACATAACATGCACAACACATGGATTACGTAGCTGTTTCTATACGTGGGTTGTCCACGGTGAGTGGGAGCAGAAACAACCCTTTTAATGTCATCTGTGGCTCAACTACCAATTAGGCTGGTGGCAGTGTAATTACTAAAAACAACAGAGCTCAGCTGTTCTCTCTTCCCACATGGGACTAAGATCTTAACTACAGCTGCAAAGCAGGTTGATGACTATAGGGTGCCCAGGGGCGGAGCTAGATGGGGGCCCAGGGGTGGGCATGGCCACCCTAAAGCCTGGAGTACACTGTGCGATTTTTTTCAATCCTTGCATGCATCTGCTGCTCACACTGTACGACTAAACCCTGCGTTTAGTCGTACAGTGAGAGCAGTAGTTCACGATTTATGTTTGGCCCGACGCTCTGATGCGATCTATCTGCTCACGATTTATGTTTGGCCCGACGCTCTGATGCGATCTACCTGCTCATGATTTATGTTCGGCCCGACGCTTTGATGCGATCTACCTGCTCACGATTTATGCCCGACACTCTGATGTGTATCTGCTCACACTGTACGACTAAACGCTGCATTTCACACATTGCATCCCTGCAAAACTGCTGTGTTTACATCTGAGAGGAGGAATAAAAGAAGAATCCTTGTTTGCGCATGCGCCCTGAGCGATTTGCCCACGACAGTTGGGAGAAAATCAAACATGTTTGAAAGTCGGCCCTATCGAAGGATCGTCGCATGACTGGAAAATTGCGTGAGTGAGCTTGACGCAGACATTTTTGATTTATGCCCAGTATTGAAGCGTGGTCTGCGCTATAAGCTGTGGGTCTATATACGGCGGAGGGGTGAGGAAGTGGGGGTGAGTTTGTCCGACAACGGAGGAACATGGCGGCGAAAAAGAGTCTCGATCCAGGTGGGAAAGGGTCCCAGCGTTCTCGCGCACCTCACTCTTTTAGCTTGTCCAACTTCACGAGTTGTTTTCCGCAATTTCGGTCATAAAAACAAAACAAGCCGGCCTCCTGTCTGCGGCACTAAGTGTCTGCGGAGGGGGCGGGGACGTCTTTTTGTTCACTGCGACAGCTACGCAGACGACCTAGTTTCAAAGTATAAATCAGCCTTAATGCTACATTCACACCAAAAGTAGCAAAGGCAGCAGGAGCAGCTGATTTACATGCAAGTGAATGGTTGACGCGCATCAAGGCGCAGGAAAATGTCCCGCAGCGCGTCTGAGCAGCTGAAGCAGCGCCTCGTGAGCGTTTGAGCATCTGACGCGCGTGCCGTGCCACGCCGCAAACGCAGCTACTGCTCGAGTTGGAAAAATTGAACTGTTACTGCTCGAGGCGCTACATCAACCAATCAGAGAAGCTGATCTGGGAGCTGGCAGGGAGAGAGATTCATCGCTGATGATCAGAGATGGGAAGTAACGAAGTACAAATACTTCGTTACTGTACTCAAGTAGATTTTTCTGATATTTTTACTTTACTTTACTACTTATTTTTATGGCGACTTTTTACTTCTACTCCTTACATTTTTACACAAATATCTGTACTTTCTACTCCTTACATTTTAAAAAATTGGCTCGTTACTTTAGTTTTGAATCATTTCAATGAAGTTACCGTTATTATTTTTCACGTCATCAATACCAAATTCAATCTAATTAGATGGGAATCTACGTTGCATTTGACGCACCACTACAAGATGAATCGACAGATTCGGCGGTATTCATTCGTGGCAAATCATTGCAGCTTGGTAGCGGTGGTGTTAGCATAGTAGTATGGACGACGCGATGATTGAAAATGAACACAACAGACATCCATTTAAAATGTAGGCAACGGCATGAAAAAAGTGGTTTCCACTTTTACTTTTATACTTTAAGTAAATTTACAAGCCTGTACTTTGTTACTTTTACTTGAGTAAAGAAGTTCAATCAGTACTTCCACTTTTACCAGAGTATTTTTTAACACAAGTATCTGTACTTTTACTCAAGTACGGAAAGTGAGTACTTTTGCCATCTCTACTGATGATACAGATCACTATGGTCACTCTTCTGAAATAGTTTATTAACGCCTAAATTAACTTAAAATGCTGAAATCTGCCGGCAAAACACGTTCGCTTTTATTATTCTGGTGCCTGCAGTTTGGATTACGGACATGAAAACTGCTTTTCAGCCGGCGCGGCAAACCGCAAGGAGGCGACCAGGCCATAGGCTGCTGTTGAATGGGATTCCTACTGACCGAGCACTGCCGGCATGTGGGGGTCTGAGCGCCTCTGACAGAGTGAGAAATAATGTTTGAAGGCAGGATGGTAATCTGGATGAACTGACTGCACTGATGAAGTTTTCAGGTGGACCTTCTCATTGAAAAACAGATTGAAACTACTTTATTCCCACTGATCACAGCAAACATAGCTGCAAGGCAAAGAAAGGATAGGGTAGTGCCGCCCAACGCGCATCAGGCCCACTTTCCCACCGCGTCAGAACTAAACTTGTACAAGCATAAAAAATGAAGCAGCATGCTCTTTTTTGCTGCTCTTGCTTCTTTTGGTGTGAACGTAGCATTGGCCACCCCTGTGGCCACCCCTACCAATTGTTTCCCTCTAATACAAATGGTGGCAACAGTAATACTCTCAAGGGGATCCTTCGAAATATTACAATTTTTCATATATTAACAATTACTTGATGACAAAAACATTGTGGTATATAATGCACATCAATATACTAACATTAAAGATGATAAGTACAGAATTAATGCTCTTTTCAAAACTAGATTTTGTGTTTTATGGAGTAAAGAGAAAATTATGTCTCTCTGGAACTCATCTAGGAGTCTTTAGTGAAATTATAGATAAACAACTATTTTAATAAAACATATGAAATAATAATTTTATGTAGATATTAGTACTTTTTAATGTCAATTTTATGTAGAATGATTACTGATTAAAGTAGGTAAGTAATGACAATGGAAAAAAATCTTCACCCAAAACTCAAACCTGAAAGATTTTATCCACTATACCTTTTATCTAGAAAGCACGGATGTTTGAATATATTCGACTATTTGTTAGCAAAGGCTGTGGGAAAGTATAGTTTGTCTTTATTTAGAAAATATGGATGTTTTGCTTGTTAATTTTCCTGTTAGAACAGTGTAGATTGACCCTGAGGTTTTGGTGCCTATCTGCTTTCGGCCACCCCTCAGTGTACACTGATTATTACTTGAACACCCTCATAAAAATTTCTGACTACGCCTCTGGGGGTGTTTTGGGGTGTTTGTTATATTTATTTAACAAACTAAATATTTAATTAGCAAACTAAATATTTAGCTCCCAACTAAATATTTATTTAACAAAGTAAGATTTTTATAAATGAATGAATGACACAATAAAAAACTTACTTGTAAAAAATAACCCCATATTTTCTCTGAAAACATGCTAAATAACCATAAATATTGCTCCTAATTTATAACTGGTTGACTTTACAAACGGCATGCCATAGATAACTACTTATGGTCAGTTTGGAAATGACAAATATGTTTAGAATATAAGCTTGTACGCATTATGAGATCACTAGATATATTTTATATGAAAAGAAAATAGAAAATCCTCACAAACTTCAAGTGTTGAAGTTTTAATTCTAATTTTGTTGTTGTTGCTATTGAATTAATTTATCCTGGTTCAGCGTGAATCTTTTTGCTTGAGTGTGAAGTCTCAGAGGTCTAGTTTGGCTTTTTCTGTGTTTATTAGTAATTAGCTTCCTTACCTTCATTCTGCCTCAGCTGCTCATCATGTCCCTTGATGCTCTGCTGGTTTGCTGTCCTTTCAATCTCACTGTCTCTGTATTTAAGCTCATTGGTTGTTATTGCTCTTTGCTAGATTCTTCGCTTTCGTCGCATCTACTTCCTATACTTTTCGCAATGTACAAGAGCATTCTGTAAGTTCTTATTTTACTAAGTGATCAGCTTCACCTCAGTTTGCCACTGAAATTGAGTCCTTCCTCTGATTGAACATGACCAAAATGGATCACAGAGGACTTTGTAAAATATAAGATGGCATAAACATTTTTGTCTTGTCTAAACCGTTTAATCACAAACATAACAAAACACATCTCAAATGGTACAATTGGTACAAATTAAATTAATACAAGTATATAAAAACTACATATTATATATTAAAAGTAATTCAAATACAATCAATCGCCATAGGCAACACTAAATAAGGATGTTTTAAACCTGGACTTAAGCAAGGGTTGAGGCTTAGTTTAAGTCCTCACTGAGGGTATTCCAGACCTTGGCTGCAGGATACTAAAACGCAGCCTCACCATGTTTAGTGGTGACTCTAGGGACCACCAGGAGAACCCTCTCTATCTCACACCCTAAAGTTGTTCATATGTCTGTACTTTGGTGCTAAACCATGACAAGACACAAGTAGAGCTGTTTTAAAGTCTATTCTCGAAGCCAGATGGTGGCAGAGTACCCAAAAATAGTACTTAAGTAAGAGTAGCACTACTGCATCATATTTTTACTCAAGAAAAATTAAAAAGTACAATTTTGTAAAACTACTCCTAAAAGTACATTTAAAAAAAAAGTCAAGTAAAAAGTAACTAGTTACTACCTAGCCTCGTGAGACCATCCCGATCTCGCGAGCTTTCAAGGTTTCACTCGCAGATCAGTCTGGAGACTCTCCGTTAAAGAAAATTTGAAGCCGTTCACCAAACGAACGTCCAATCAGCGTTGGCTTTGAGGCGGGTTGAGGTGTGACGCAACGAGAAGCGCGACAGTTCTGTCTAAAGAACATGGCGGCTTCAGCCGATGAAACTAGCGTTAGCGTGGCTATCGAGCAAGTTTTATCGGAATTACAGAGTATTTCTTCACTGAAAAAATAGCAAAACACTGCTCTGGAGGCTTTTCTCAGAGGAAAACATGTTTTTGCTCTTCTCCCGACTGGTTTCAGCAAGAGTAGCCTGGCTTGTGGTTGTGTTTTCGTTGTCGCTCTGTTAGTACGTCATATGCTTCGTTGATCTGATTGGTTTATTTGGCCCGTCTATCACCAACATAGGCCAATCAGCTAACCAGTATTTGCGCCCCTTCCCAAAATTACTTCAACGGAAGGTTCCCAGATGGATATGTGGAACAAATCCATCTGGCGGAGTCAGGTAAGTTACTACCCACCCCTGGT